TATTGATATTGTTTTGGGCACTTTAGTTTTAAGAACTCGTTTCGATTCTTTAACTACTAATTCTTTAATTTTACTTAATTCACTTAATATGGGCTCCCACTTTATTTTCATTTATTTTATTAAGTTATATAAAATTAATTAATAACAAAACTGCTTACATAAGCTAAAATTTAGCCATTTGACCAGATTTTATAACTAGTACGCAATTTCATTTAAGATTTATAAATAATTTAATATAATATAGTAATTTCATTTAACTTTTATAAATAATTATATATTATAATTATATATTTTCAATATATATAATTATTGTTATATATTTTAATTTAAAATTGTTAAATGCTTTAATATTATGCATCAATCTAATTTACAACTTATAAATAATTTAATATTTCAATATAATTATATATTATATTACTATTTTATAATATTTAAATTTAAAATTTTATAACTAATTTAATAACGCAATAACATATTTTCACTTTGTCAGCCCAAGTAATGTTCTAATTAATAACTGGACACAAATAGATTGTATATTTCCCAATCAGCAAATATAAAATGTACATAACATACCAGGCTGCCCAGCAACATTTCTTGGGTCGTTGTCCTTCGTCTGTTGGCCTACTTATCTCCTGTTTTTTGATTCTGAGATGTTCAACCTCTGGGGCTCCTGGATCGAATTGATGAACTCTGCTGATTTGGACTGGCTTTTGGGCTTCTTAAACGTCTGCAGCTTGGCTTCTCAGCATCATACTTCGGGTGAGGTTTCTTTTCATACTTCTTCTTAGTGCTTTTCTCAATTTTAACCCCAGAATTGTTATGATGGCACCAACAGCAACATATGCCAAAATTTTTATATCTAATGGCACTTGGACTTCGTTCTCTTCTACAATGAAGTTTGAATTTACCACTCCAGTATCTGTCACTTCACTGTGTTTCGAATTTGTCTTGCCCATTTTTCTACTTTTCACTTAAAACCTGACTTAACTTAACGCACTGGAGCTGGCAGGATCGCCATGTAATGTTGGGACTTTGAATTGTACTCGTAAATACTTTTACAACCTTCTATATTAACTCATATCTTGCTTCTGTCCCCAATTAACAATAGATGTTTTTAAATAATACATATTGACAACTCAGCAATTGCCACGTAACAATAATTAAATAGTATTTACCAATGACGTTGCACTACAATTCGATTAAGAAAAAAATCTAGATTTATTCACAATCCACACAATAAGGTCTGTTCTATCTCGTACTAAAAATACAAAAAATCACTGCAACACTGCACAGTTTAACGGCGGCCATTTTTGTTGTTTACAATTTTTGTGCTTTGGGTTTGTGCTCTGTTTATACAGATTAATAATCGTTTTAAACGTTGTGTTTCTCATAGTAAGCCTTAAAAGAGTCCTTAAAGTGCTAAGAACAACCATTTTACTCCTCTATTGTAAAAAATAAACTTTATTCTATCAGGGTGACATAAAACTGTCAAATGTCAATTTTAAGGTTAAATTATAACCCACAAATTAACCTTTAAATTGTCATTTGACAGCCCTGGTAGAATAAGGTATATTTATTATAAAAGATGAGTAAAATGGTTGTCCTTAGCACTTAAAGGCCTTATTTAAGGCTTACAAGTGCCTCTATAAGAAACACAATGTTTAAAAGAATTATTAAACAGCACAAACCCAAAGCACAAGAATTGTAAACAACAAAATTGGCCGCCGTTAAACTCTGTGCAGTGTTGCAGTGATTTTTAGTATTTTTAGCATGAGATAGAACACACCTTGTTGTGTGGATTGTGGATTTATTATAGTTTATAACGACTGTCTTTTATAATTACACTAAAAGAGAGCGGCACAAGTAAAAACTCGTCAAAAATTTTACGGTTAACCATTAAAAACTAACAACGATTATAAATTCTAAAAGAAAGCACAAACTAGCAGCACGAGAATTGTGCATTTAATAATAATAATAATAATAATAATAATAATATTTATTCACAAAGTGTACAATACAAAGAAAATATTATACAAAATATGAAAATGGTCAAAAAAAATAGTCTTTGATATATGTTAACAATGTTAACTTAACATAGACATATGATATAGAAAATAATTATAAATAACTACATATAGGAAATAAACACAAATATAATCACAAAACGTCCAATAAATATTCATTTATATTGTATGGCTCAAGGTTAACTAAATGCTGTAAGACAAGTTTTTTGAACATATTAAAACAATTTTCATTTTTTATATTACATGGAAGCTTGTTAAAAAATACTGCACAAGAATAAAAACATCCTCTTTCAAATATTTTTAATTTATGATTGGGCAAATTTAAATTTAAAGATCTAGTTATGGATGAAGATTTCAAATGTGAAAAATTACTTTTGTTTTTGAACATAAAAATTAAAATTTCATAAATATATACACCTGTCACTGTAAGAATACCATTGCGTCTGAAATGACCTCTACATGACTCATTAAATCTTAATCCCAGAACACAACGTAGTGTGCTTTTTTGAACCACAAAAACATTATGAATGTCAATAGCTTGCCCCCAGAACACTATTCCAAACCTCAGCAAGGAGTGAAAATTTGCAAAGTATACTGTTTTAAGCGTATCATAGTGAACATAGCGTTTTAGTACTCTTAAAGAGTATAGGACTACAAAGTTGTTGAATGTGATTTGTCCAGCTAAGATGTTCATCTAGGTATACTCCTAAAAACTTGGTATTCTGTGAAAGTTTTAAGCCACTAACATAATCAGGTGTTTGAAATTTTGATTGTTTGGTTTTAAACATTATACAATTGGTTTTCTCCTTATTTAAGACAAGTTTGTTTTGTGTAAACCACAACTTTATGTTTTCCATAAGCCCACTGCACTCTCTCTCAAGATCCTCAAAAGTGTTTGATTGAATCAAAAGATTTGTGTCATCAGCATAATTTATTAAATTTTGATTCAATGTTTGTAAAGATGTTTGCACATCATTTATATAAATTATAAACAAAAGTGGACCAATGACACTTCCTTGTGGTATGCCCATTTTAATATCCAGGACATGTGATACGTACTCATGCAACTCTCTGATCACCGCAACCTTCTGCGATCTATTGGACAAATAAGATTTTATCCACTGCAGAATATTACCTCTTACACCATATTTCTCAAATTTCTCAAAAAGAATTGAATAATCTAAACAATCATATGCCTTAGACAAATCCAAGAAAATTCCCAGTACCAAGTGTTTAGACTCAAAAGCAGCTAGTACTTTATGGGTGAAGTCATAAACCGCAGTTTCAATACTTCTATTTTTTAAATAACCATGTTGACATTTACTAAAAAGGTTGCAATGATCAAAGAATTGCACAAGCCTTCCACACAACACTGTTTCAAAAACCTTTGAGAAAGAGGGCAGCAAGCTTATCGGTCTGTAGTTTTCAACCAATGTTGGGTCACCTTTTTTATGTAGTGGCTTTACTATTGCAGTTTTCAGTGAGTCTGGACAAATCCCGTACTTGAAGGAGTTGTTTATAATATGGGTTAAGGGGTAGCAAATTTCCAAAACACATTCCTTTATAATAGTTGATGGAATTTCATCAAAACCACTTGACATCTTGTTTTTGAGGTTTCTTATTATATCCACAATTTCTTCTACAGTAACAGGCTTAAAAAACATAGAACTACAATTAACATTGATATTACATTTATGTTTAACATTATTCAAACGACTAACTAAATTTGGTGCTGCATCAACAATATAATGGTTAAATTGATTGGCAACATTTATTGGTTCCCCTGGAACCAATGTATCACAGTTTTTTTGTGCTCCTTTAATATTATTAACAACTTGCCAAGTGCTTTTGCTTTTATTTTGAGAGTTTTTTATTTGATTTGAATAATGATTTTTTCTAAAATTTACAAGCAAAGTATTATATTCTTTTTTAGTTTTGTTATATAAAACATTATATCTATTATCAAAACCCTTTATCACAAACAAAGTATCCAATCTTAACTTACAATCAATAATTTCAGGACTTCTGTAATTACACGATTTTTTATGATTTAAATTACAATATTTTTTGGGAAAAAATTCATTAAAAATAGGAACAAAAGTGTTCATAAAAATACTCCATTGGTTATTAACATCTCTATCATCACACATGAAAATATCTGACCAATCTTGTTCCCACAGCTTTTGTCTAAAACCAATCTTACTTTTACTGGTAAAAACTCTCTTAAAAACATGTTTATTTTGGGTTCTCAAGGAAGTAGCAAATTCAATTTTTTGAGCAGTATGGTCTGAGATTTGAGAATTTATAACAAAACCATTATAATTACTAATATTTGTAAATATGTTATCAATACAGCTCTTTGAGGTGCTTGTAACTCTAGTATATTCCATTATAGATGGATAAAAATTATATGAATTTAAAATTGATAAAAAACTTACAGTTCCATTACACATACTTTTTAAATCTATATTAAAATCTCCTGCTATAAACACATTGCAGTTTTCATTAAAACATTTGGACAGTAACATATCTACTTTGCTAAAAAATAAATTAATATCAGAATCAGGTGTTCTGTATATTGAAATCACAATATTCTTTGTATCACAGACAATGCACTCAACAGCTGCACATTCAAATACAAATACCTCAGATAAAATCATTAGATCTTGCCTTGGTTTACAGCTTAAAGTTTCTTTGGAATATATTGCAACTCCTCCATGTGCTCCTTGGTTACGACAAAAACTTGACATTTTTCTATATCCTTGTATTTTGTAGACATTTAATTCTTCATCACTTTTCCAGTGCTCACTTACACAAAGACATATGCAATCCATATTCAAATTTAACATGACTTGTATTTCATCCACACAGTTTCCAATTGATTGTAAGTTTTGATGTATTATGCTGAAAGTGTTGCTGTTGTTTGTTCTGGATTTAAAGTTTTTTCTAAAAAATGTTTGCTCTCATAGAACATTTTTACTGCTACATGTTCAGGCCAAAAATTTGGATCAAGCAGATTCTGCTTTTTATTAGCTGGCACAGTTACCTTAAAACTTCTATAAGCTTTTGATTTGACATTCAACTCCTCACAGTTGACCTCCATATCCGGTAGTTCTCCCTTTATAAAGGTTATAATATTTTCCTTTGTGACAGACAAATTAAGTTTTGATACATGTATTTTTGATTTTGGCATGTATGCACCAATTTCTGTTCCATTTTTCTTGGCAGTTCCATATATAACTTTCTTCTTAAATTTCTTTAAATCATTTGCTTTGGGTTTGTTTTGTACACTAGCCTCTATAATTCGTGCACCGGCCTCTTCGGTGTTTTTGTTTACACTGTCATTTTTGATATTGACATCACCTATTAAAGTATTCTGTTGTACCAACTTGCCTTCGTGGTTGCCTACCTTTTGAATTTTATTCTTATTTGCATTTACCACCTCAGAATATGGTTTTTTTATGGATGAACTAACCTTATTTAATTCTTCGGTTTTTTCAGACAGTTTTCCTTCCAAAGTTTCAACTTTTTCTTCTAGATAATCCACTTTATCGTATAGAAGCTTATTATTTTTCTTGAGTTCTTCTACTAATTCTCTTAGCAGTTTAATGTTTTCACTACTGCATTCGTTGACTGATTCCAAACCCACGTTTACGCTCAAAGTTTCGCCACAACATTTTTTAACTCGTTTTGCACATCCAAAATGAGTAACGGTACTACATTTAGTACAGATAAAGCCCGATCGAGCCACATATCTACATCCTTTACACAATTTTTCACTATTTTCAGACTGAGCATCCGGAGGTGCGTCCTCACTCGGCGCCATCTTGAATAACCACCGTTTGCAAAAATCAAAGTTTTTGGGGAATCGATTAAATTTATGTTTTTATTTAAAGGGTTTTTCTTGGACTGGTTGTCCGAATTGAATCCAAATATGCCACACCGCATTTTAATAAATGCAAATGGCACGACACAAACTAAAACACAAACAAAACAAGTTAACGCAACACAAAAACAATAATAAACAAACAGAACAGGTTAACACAACGCAATAACAATAATTTGAACACTGAAAAGTAATTCGAACCTTACCGAACCCAAAAACAACAAGTTAAACAAAAAATAGAGCAAGTTAACATCAAACAGCATCGCAAAAACAAGAATTTTAGCAGCAGATAATTAAAAAGCACGTTAAAGATTTAAAAACACTCATCAAGTGACGTATTTAAGCCCCGCCCAACATGCGCACCATCCTATCTTAGGGTGTATGTATCTTGGGCGTTAACAGACGAAATGTTAAAAGCTTGGTTTGATACCTCTATAATATTTCATATAAATATCTAGTGTTTTAAATAGATTTGCCTGATTTTGATAAGGTGTAAGGTGTTTATATTGTTATAGTTATACTGTATTATACTATAGTAGGTACTATAATAGTATAAGTAAGTAGTTATTGGGTTTAATTAGTAAAATTAGTATAGTTTAATTAGTATAGTTTTTAAATACATTAGTTTTTTGTAGTTTTATTAAAATTAATATTTATCATGTAGGTACCTAAATTGTTGCATGTTTTAGTTTTAATTATTAATTGTAGTTGAAATAGGTAAATTAGATATAGATAATTGTAGTTTTAACTTCACTGCATGTTTTAGTTTGTAAATATTGCTTTTAAGTATATTTTAAAATGAAGCTTGACACGTTTGAGTTGGCAGTGTTTTTTAATAAAAACTTTTCAAACTATAGCTTTAAGCAGCTTCAAATGATGCCTGTCAATAATGAGTTTATACATAAAGCGGCTTTAAGTATTTTTAAAAATGATAGTAATAAATATAGATATTTAATAGCAAAAGCTTTAAAAAGAAATTCCGGCGATATGGAATTATTTTAAAAAAATAAAGGTTATTTAAGCGAAGCACCTAATAATAATGAAAGTCTGCTTTTAAACATTGTTAATATATTTAAATCAACCGAATTAGATATTGATGATCTGTTTAAAACCACTCATTCAATTTATGCAAAACTTTGTGTGCAATTAAAGCAACAAAATTCTAATAAAAATCGAAAAAAAATACAAATGTTTTGCATGCGAAAAATAGACCAAATCATAGATCTTACGCATACACCAATATCTTCCACACCCATTCGTACCCCTTGCACGAATTTATGTAGAGATGAACTAAACTTTGATTTTTTGGAAATGACAAGTTTAAACAACAAACAAAAATTAGATGAAGAAAGGGAACAAATAGATTTGGAATATTCAATGATTAACATATCCTCTGATTTTGATGAACAAATTGATTCATCTAAATCTGAAATTATAAAAAAAAAAGTTTCCTTAAATAATTCAATATTTAACATATCCTCTGATTTTGATTAACAAACGGATTCATCTGAATCTGAAATTATATAAAAAAAGTTTCCTTAAATAATTCAATATTTAACATATCTCCTGATAATAATAATAATAATAATAATATATTTATTGCTAAGTAGATCACAGCAGGAGTGACATAAGCAAGGTCAGGGTAACAATGGTTTGAAAGCAGGTATTTGAACATAAAGAGGTTAGTAGATGTTAATTAGCATAATTAGTAATAATGTGCTAGTATATATTTCTAGAAGTATTAAAGTTTTAAAAAGAAAATAATAGCAATAAGAATTAGAACATCTATAAGAATGCCTGGCAATTACAAACAGAATAAAAAGAATAAAATCATTTAAAAATAAGACTAATATTGAAAAATATATATATATACATATACATATACATATACATATAAATACATATATACATACATACACACATATATACACACACACACATACATATATACACACATATATAAATAAACAGGTAAATAAAAGTCTAACAAAGTAAATAACGTGCAAATACTTGAAGTAAATATAAATATGGTTTGTAACAAGTAGGAAAAAACAAATATTTATGAAGTATTTGAACAAATGACAGAATAAATAAATAAATAGACACAAGTAAATAATTAAAAATTTAAAAATTCATCAAATGAGTAGAAACAGTATGGACTGGAACACGCAAGAGTGCACCACCTCTGGTATTCATACCCTCAGATACATCTATGTTTCTAGTAAACAATCCTGGGTTTTTCTTTACGAACAACAGCATATGATAGACGTATAAAGATGGTAATGACATAATTTCTAGATCCTTAAAGTATTGTTTACAGGAAACAGTTCTACTTAAATGTAACATCGAACGTAGCGCTCGTTTTTGAGCAATAAACACTGATTCAAACATGGTGGATGAACCCCAAAAGACAATAGCATATGATAAAATAGATTGAACATACGCAAAGTAAAAAGTTCTTAAATTAATCATGGAAAGGTGATTACCCATGTATCGTAATATGTAACTCCCACGATTTACTTTTTTTATAACAGTGTTTATATGGTGTACCCAGTTTAATTTATTATCAATACAAACCCCTAAAAATTTTGAGTAATCACTATTCGGAATAGAAGTTCCATTTGCTACTACCAACAGGCTTTGCAAATTAGAATTAAAATTTTTTTGAAAAACCAAAATGTTGGTCTTTGAATCATTCAGTAAAAGGCTATTAGTACGACACCATTGTGACATTGTATTAATAATTTCTGTAGACTTTAGGGATAAGTCTGCAACAGTGGAACCGATTGCTACACAAGATGTATCATCCGCATATTGACATAAGTTCGATAAATAGTTGCTAAGATCATTCACATATAAAAGAAATAATGATGGGTCCAAAATGGATCCCTGTGGAACTCCCAGATTTAAATTGATGCTGTCAGAAAATGTACATGTTTTTCTTCCATTCTCTACTGATTGAATACTAACAGTCTGTTTTCTGTTTGACAAGTATGATGCCATAAGATTTAGAGTTACTCCTCGTATGCCGTACGATTCCATTTTTCTCAATAAGATATTATGACTTAGACTATCAAAGGCCTTTGACAGATCGAAATAAATGCCCACAACCATATGCTTTTTTTCTAAATTATCTAGGATATCTCTAATTGATTTATAGATTGCATCTATGGTTGATGTCTTGGGTAAGAACCCAAATTGAGTCTGTGATGGGATATTAAATTTCAATAAGTATTAAATAAGACGGTTGTTAATTAGTCTTTCAAAAACCTTTGATATCGTTGGCAGTAAGGATATGGGTCGATAGTTGCATACGAGCTTGGGATTTCCTTTTTTAAGCAGGGGTATAATTTTCGCGATTTTTAACTTTTCAGGAAATACTCCTTCATTGAAACAACAATTGATAACTCTGCTTAGAACATTAGAACATATTGATCTTATGACATCATATATCTCCTGTCTATCAGTAGGGAATAAGAAAAAATTTGATGCCACTCTTGTAATGTTATTGCTGTGGTTGTCGTTAATTGCCTGTATATTGGTAAATGTCTTATTAAACAAATTGGCAACAGTTTTTGGGTCCGATATAATTGAATCGTCATGCTCCAGTATAATTTGCTCACCCCTTGTATAGTTGTTACCTGATAGTTTTTTATATAATTGCCATGTTTCCCGACTAACATTGTTGGAGTTTGCAATTTGATTGTCATTTAGAGACCTTTTGTACTCAGATATATACTTTTTGTATATTTTCTTTTCATTTTGATATCGCTGTTTTATCTGTTCGCAATTTGTATTTTTATAGATCCAGAAAAGATTTTTTATATGTTGGGACCAAGCTCTAATTTTATCAGTTACCCATGTTTTCCTGGATTTGTTTAATATAGATTTTTTGACTGGAAATAAAATTTCAAAATAATGTATAAAAACATTGTAAAAAGCATCAAACTGTTCATTGGGCGATAAACCAGGTGCAATGCATTCCCAAGATTCATTGTGTATGCTGTTTTGGAAATTAATTGTATTTTCTTTGTTAAAGCGGCGTTTGTATTCACGTATGGTCTCATGCACATGTGAGTCATCAATGTTTAGCATTTGGCCATAGTGGTCAGATATATCAGTCACTACTACAGAACAGTTTACCGGGCACATATTAAAATTTGAAAAGATATTATCGATTAAAGTGGCCGAACGTTGACAAACTCTGGTATTTTCAGTTACATGGCTATCAAGCCCATAATTACTTAAAATGTTAGTTACCGAACTTGTTAAAATTTATATTAAAGTCTCCACATATTGGTATTTATATTGTTATGAGTAATACTGTCCAAAACATCCGTAAGTTTATCAATAAAAATCTTCAGATCACCATTGGGTGATCGGTATATACATAAAATAAAGGTTAATTTATTCTTTACCTTGGTTTTTGCGACAGTATACTCTATATGTTTTTCAACGGATGGGATATTGGAATATAATATTGGATGAGCTGTTGCGTTTGTATCAGCATAAATCGCGGTACCACCACCCTGAAAATTTTCTCTACCAAAATAATTAATTAGTTTATAGCCAGAGATATAATAAATTGGCACTTCAGAGGCATTTAACCAATGCTCTGTTAAACAGACAATATTGGGCTGAAGATCGTGTAGGAGTATTTCAATATCCAGTATTTTATTTCTCAAACTTCTAGTGTTCAAATGAAACAGTTTGAATTGTTCACTGGTCCGTGACACTCCCGTATTAGTATTTGGTTGCTATTTAGCAAACTTAGCACACTGAATCTTTTCAATCCGTTTGTAAGTCTCACACTTTGTAGTATTCCAGTTAGCATGGTCTACCTCCAGTTTTAATCCATACTTTTCATTGGAGAATACACAATTAGAACACTTAAATGATTCACTTGTGCAGTTACCAGAAAAGTGATCACACTACATTTT